TATTTCTTGAGTGGCATTTTAGTTGTAAAGATGAAGGAAAACCAAATTCTATGGATAGTCAACTTCTTTATTGCAGTGAGTGCGACGTTTCGGTGTAGGTACTAATAACATCACTTGCTTGATAACGGTGTTAGTACCTCCCACACCGAAACAGATGTCGCACTCTCATGCAATGAAGGAAGTTGACTATCCATAGAAGATCGAAAGGTGTTTCTTTTTTCCTTTATGTTACTGATTGTCACACCAAAAACCTATGTATTTATTCTTTGCCGATGGCGCCGGCGATGAAGTCGTCATGAAGGTCCCAACGTATCCGCTGTGTCCCTTCTTGTGAGACGGGCAATAGCGCTGCCACTTGTGCCTGTACATCTAGTGAATGATGTTTTGGTGACAGACATTAAAGGAAGCCCCTGACGGTCGAAATGTGGTACATTACACATATTATGTAACAACGTTTTGAGTGGAAGAAAAACACGGGCGGAGCTTGTGGAACCACTATGAGACCGTGGAGCCACGTACAAAAACCCACGTGGAAGGCTGGCACCGGAAACTCAGTCTCCAAACAGCCAGCTCACATCCAAATATCTTTAAGTTCATAGATTCTTAAAAACAGAGCAGGTATACATGGAAGGCAGCGTACTGCTTCTACGAGGTGGTGGCTCGAAACCACCTCGCAATAGGAAATATAGACAACTGGACAATGCCTTGTCTCTGTACAAGAGGCATTATATCAGTAGGGTCAAGTGTATCATGGCGTATCGTGAAGCAGTCTCACATTTAACTGGGTGTTAAATGAACGTCTGTGAACTTGTCATTTACAGGAAACTGTATATATGTATGTATATATTTACATTGTTATTGTAAACGAGAATAAGACATGGATGAATGTATATTTATGAATTTATTCATATTTATTATGTATGTATAAGAAATGAATATTATGAATCTATAATTTGTACAGTATGAGTATGCATTGCATGTAATATACGAGAATTTGATATGTTTCTGTGTTTTGTTACTATATGATACAAGGGCTACCAAATATCCCAGTCCGACTAGGGTGACCAAATGTCACAGGGGATTAAATAAAAAGCGCACCTTACTTTACCTGAGATTCAAAAGATTTGGAAAATACGACTGTTCAAACTATGATCTTATATGGCAAAAATGTCCTTGCTTACAAACAAGAGAAAAGTCTGGTCACGTGATAAACTTACACACGTGGTGTGAACACTGGAACAGAAACGTGTTATAAACGAGCAGAGTAAGATTGAGAGTTATCAGCTATTGTTGTCAGAACGGTGAGGTAGGGTAACTGCTGAATTCGCCCTCGAAGCATTAGGTGAGTTGAATTTGTTACATGTCTTTCCTTTCATTAGCTGCTGACACTGGTAATGAGCTGTAATAGTCCAGTGTATAATGTTACCTTGTTTTAGAAAAGGGATATTTGCGAATTTGTATATTTTTATAAACCCATTGACTTCATGTGTAAAAATAATAGAGATTTTTTGTCTTTAAAAACCACTGTTTACCAGACGTGTACATTTTGTTGGTGGTGTCCAGACACTGACTAGTCCATTCAACCTATATCATTTGTACTCTTGATACTCTCTTCATCTCTACTGCCATCAATGTTCTGGGACACAGGCATGATGTATCAAGTTATAGAACAAGTCTTATTCATTGTGGAAAGGATTACCATGGTAGTGTTTGATTTTGTCCAAAACAGTATCATCTCTCTTGAAAAACACCTGGTAAGAGCCCATGATGTCCCTTCACTTTGTTTACCTCAAGATCAAACTCTTAAAGCTCACCTGCAAGGCCTGTACCAATATATACAAACGGCACTTCATTCTTTGAGACAAATATGTTCTCAAATTGAAGTTCCTGATAGGTATCTGGAACATTATCGCTTACATTTCATCCGCCCCATTGTAAGAAACAAAACAACGTACAGAGAGCTTCCATAGCATCATATTGTAGATGCAAAACTCCATTCCCATCAGGGGTGTCTTCAGCAAAGAAAACAAAGGAATCCTTCCTTAGAAATGGCGGTAGATATAAGCTATAGAACTTTTTTCAACGACTGTATGGCAGTATATGTTTCCAGCAACAGAGGATAGCCTGTATAGGATGCAATAGGTGTGTGCACTTAGCACATGTTGTGGACTGTATGGGCTAATTCAAAAACCGGAGTATTTTCCTTTTCACATGAAAACCTGAATATTCCAGATTTCCTCCGCTTGTATTTGACATGTCTTCTCAGTCTTTGCACCATAACAATATATCTGACATACTGTAAGTATTGTTCTGTCAATTTTACTGTTTTTGCAAGATCTGTCGCCATTGTCCAGCCTTTGAGTGTGTATGAAACATTGTCTTTAGTGTTTTTTAATATGGATTGTTTGGTTTTATCTTTTTTGTCAAACATTTCAAAAGAATGTACAACAGGTGGTTTACTTTTGTGTTGAGTGGAGAACAGACCTTGCTCATGATGTTTCAGAAATGATTTGTCCTTTAGATGAATAGATAGGGACGTGCCTGTTCAATAGAGACGTTTAAGTTTTGGCGATATCTTGCACACTGTATTTGAATTTTATTTTTGGCAATGGAACAGAAATTAGTGGAATGTATGGATACTTTCGTAATTAAGGAGAAACCCGAATAGCCGAGTCGAATAAAAACACAAGAAAATATGTTCATTTCATAACAAGAATGACATAATAGTTTTCAAATATCAATGTATAATGGTAGCACAGTAGCTTCCAGTAGATATATCTTTTTCACAGAAATATTGTATCTATATTTGTAGATCTAATTTATTTATAATTAAAGCACTAACATTCAGTAAGTATCACAGCATCAGTAGGTAGCACTGTAGCTTTCAGTTGTCATAATATATACATAGTTCATGTACAGTTATCCAAGTTTTATGAGGTTGGCCACCGCACCACGGTACTGGAGTGGGGTCTTCTCTCCGCCACTTGGCGTGTTTTTAACCTCATGATACTGTGGTTATCTCTCTGTGGATTCGCTTGCGACTTGGAGGAGCAGCCCCAAAGTCGAGGTGTCTCAGCTTGACTCTGTCAGCCATCTCGATCCTCCAAAACAAAGCGAATGATGTTGGAGTGGCGTTGTGGAAGGGCCCTGTTTACCTAACTGTTGTTGTTGGTCCTTGATCCTACGGTGTCATGATGGTTCCAAAATGACAGGGGGAAGCGGCTGTCGTAGTCCACCCATGTCACGACCATGTAATCCTCAAAGTCCTCGATGCGGTCAGAGGTTGGGGAGGAGTTCATGGCATCAATCCAAGTGTTTTGAACCCGATCTTGAGGTAGCAAGGCAAGGGCGGATGCTCTCCTGATGAACTGCTTCACAGCTGGATCCTCCTTGTATGCAACTGCGAGACCTAGTGCTTGTGTCTTCCTCCACTGGGCTTTGGAGAAACGGAAGTAGCATCCCTTGGTCTCTGCATTTGGAAATTCCGTCTCTATGGCCTGGATGGTGGCAAGCTCAAAGTCTGTCTGTATTCTTGCTGGGGCCAAGGACGATTCAGTTCCTCGCCCTGAGGAGACAGTCTTACGTAGGTGGTCTCTCAACGATCAGGCAGAAGGGCAAAATCTAAGGGGTATGACACAGAGATAAATGATGTAAACCTGATCCCAAAGCTCAGGAAATGAGGTGAAAGTTCCATCCATGTAGATGGTATCAGCGGTCTGCAACACCTGGAGCAGTTCAGTGACAGAGAACACCAGAATCTTGTCTTGTTCTCCACTAGAAAGAAGAAGGAAACGGCGTCCATTACTTGTCTTTGTCGACTTGTCTTCCAAATCTACATCTCGGAGGGTAGCAGGTAACGCTGGTATGGTCATGCGGCGGTGTCTGCAGACAGAACTGCTTACGCTGGGAAAAGATGGAATAACGAGTAGGTTCTGTCCATTCTCTACTGCAAGCTGTTCTGTGTACAAGGTCTGCATCTCTGTAGTCTCTTCTCTTGCTCGCTTGCGCAGCGCAGTTCACTGTCAAACTTATGCTTGGTACCGTCATCAGGTGCGTGGTTGTGCTCGTTCTGTGTACGAAGGAAGTCTCCGACAGTTGAACATCTCCCTATGCAGGTCTTGACCATGCATCTCCAGCTGATGCAGATCTGTCTGACCTTATTTCTGGTGTCCGGGTGGCAATTGTCCTGCTCCCGCGTAATACAATATAAAATGTAAAAACTGTCACAATTTATTTATATTTTCATTCAAAGCACTAAATTACCGTTCTAGCATAAATTACGTGACTATCAATTTAATTAACTTTCATGCACATTTCCTAGCAATCATTAGCAATTTATTCATAGACCTATTCAAGCATTCGATTAAAAATTTGATACGAGCTGTTACAATCATGTTTTAGAAGACAAATATGCATATACTCTCTCTGTGCAGCGTACTCGCATAACTATATTATATATTTAATGCATAATATTAACACATGCTCGAGTACATCAGCTTTACACCTAATGTATACGGTTTGTTTTGTTTTCCTTTTCCCTTTTGTTTACGTTTCACCTAGTGACTGACGTGCTGTCATCCCCATTGATAGGAGAGATTTCTTTCCACATTTCCCAATGTTTAAATGAATCCGACTGTTCTGGATTAAAGCAGCCAGTAAGATAAATGTCACGCAAATATAAAAATAGTTTGAACGCTTCATTCCATAAAACAAACATGCAAAAAGTCTGTTGGCATGAAAAACCCTGGGAAATATAAGTTCAAAAAGGCAATTGCATCTAATGCGTCAAATTTGAAAACGATCCTCTGTATGCCTGCCAAAATACCCTTTGTAATAATCCTGATATAAAATACTTTTTGTACAAGAGTCAATTGTACATCGTTTGAGCTGCAAAAGCATAGTTTTTCAGATATCTTCTGGTGGGAGAGAACTGGCTATTTTATTATTGCATCATCAGATCATTGATACAGCTGAAACTACATGTATGTTTTGCCAATTCGAGCAGAAAATTCAATTCACATGCAGATTGGAACAGATCAGCAAGAAGGACGTCATCAAAGTATATATTGTCACTGACGGGGTCTATACACAGAGCAGGTACCCCGTCAGTAGCAATATATACCTTGATGCTACTTTTGCGTTGACAGTCTATGTGACAACGTCAAGGAACAAAAAGCGCCATCATTTTACCCCAAATCTTTGAGAAATAATGTCATACACTTGCTTCCAAGATTACAATAATGTATCAGAAGGGAAAGTGCTTTTGAACATTGAAGATTTATTGTGAATATGGAAAGCCTTTTGTCACGAATATCTTCTCCAACATAAAATATGTTATATCTAATGTAAAATGAACTTGTGAAATATCCTTTCTGTTGTCGATTAAAACATCAATTATGGTAATTTTCCACATAATAATTAAACAAGAGAACACATTTGATTCCAATTTTTGAGCATGGTAAAATGCATGTTAACACAAATTTGGCGACAGAAATATTATGCTCTTTACAAGGATATGGCCGGACGTCACACACAGGCACGGTTTAACTTCATCCTCAGGAAAAAATTGACGCCTCGTGATATCGCAGACATGTTCAACGATTTTGCTGAAGACTATGAACAGGTAACATAAAGTAGTAACATAAATCCGTCGTTTAGTTTCAATGTTCAATGCTTAAAGTTTTTTAAGGATTACATCCCGAGGCCCAAGGATTTTACTCAGGGCATATGGATAACATTTCAAAATTTGTCCAAAATGAAGAACATAAAGTTGTCTCTATCTCTATCTTTCTTTGTACTTTGTGCTGACATGGTGCAAATCCAGTTCTGCCTGTAGGTGTATTTCAACATCGGTTGGAGACCTTATGAAGTTGTCGGAGACTTCATGGCTAAAATCATTCCAGAGGAAAATAGATCTAAACTGAAAGTCTTGGACGTTGGAGCTGGCACAGGTCTTCTCGGAAATAAGGTAACTAATAGCTCAAAGACCTTTTCACATCTATGGGAAATCTCTTCTAAAAGCAGAATCGATTGTACAATTCTGACTACATCATGAGCATATGTTTATGCATTACTACCAATTGCCACCACTGCCCAACAGGTGGCACTCATCAAAATCAAATACATGTCAGTTGTTCAAAATAAGGTCAAAATAAGGAATTGCCTTTTGTCACTGATGCGTCAAATTTGAAAAAAATCACCAACATGTCTACAATAAACTGTTTTAAAATTTTACTGAAATCTTTGACTGTGACCTTGACTGTAACAACTTCTAAGCAAGTATCATATATGACTCTCTTTGAAATCTTGATTAAAAAGAACATGCTCGGTTGTACAAAAAAGGTTGAGAAATGTAAACAGCAAAGGCTGGACGATATTTAAGGAAAGTTTCAATTAAGTTCAGTTTGCGATTTATAGCCTACAGTATCCTTACTGATACGACAGCTTCTAATACCACTAAAATATTGTAGATTTGTACTTTCCGAATCTTGAAAACATTTTATAATATATATTTACTGAATATTTTACTCTAGAGAATGAAAACATCACATTTTCTTCTCAAATGTTTTGCATGTCGTAAAAGTGGTGTTGACAGGGTTGACAACTTGTTATAGGTTATTTTTGACATTCTTTGGTTATGGATGGGACATCTCTTCAGACCGATATTGAGAGACAGTCACAAATCTGCCTCAACAAAATTTATAGTTGGTGTCTTAAAAACGAGTTTAAGTTTTCTAAATCCAAAACCAATTGTAAACATTTCTGGAGAAAAAAACAAACCTCATAAAGACCCTGAATTAAATCTTTAAATGGAAACACCCATCAAAATTGTGAAGGAAGCTAAGTTCCTTGGTCTCATCTTTGACTCGCATTTAACCTTTCTGCCACATATTAAATCCCTAAAAGCCAAATGCCTCAAGACGCTCGATTTGTTAAAAGTCGTTTCAAATCAAAGTGGGCAGGGGACCAAACTACCCTCCTACACTTATAGAGATAACTGTCCGATCGATACTTGATTATGGCTCCATCGTATATGGTGGGGCCTGTAAAAGCAACCTCAAACTACTTGATACTGTCTACCACCAAGGTCTTTACGTTGAGGCTTCGCCGTATTAAATTATCTTTACAATATATCACAAAGCTACAGTCAAATGAATTCGATCCTGCACACAGTTGTGTTTTTAATCCTCTTTATGAGGATCTATATAATAAAAAGTCCTGACTTGTTCCACCTCTTGGGATAAGAATTAAACCATTCATTTCTGATGCAGGCACTTAACTGGAAAAGATATCTCCTTCCCGTCTTCTTTCTTCTCCTCCTTGGCAATTGATGATGTCACAAGTTGACCTAACACTAACAACATTTAAAAAGTCAGAAACAAATGAATTACAATATTAACAAGAATTTATACAATTACAAAATATATATAATACATACAAATCTTTATTTCCAAGGATGGTGGAGCAGTTGCTTGTGCCACTGTCATTGGATCCAGAACTGTATCTTCCAGGTTACCAGGCGACAGCTCTATTTTCACAGCCGAGGCTAACGCCATATTAACAGCTCTTAGATATATTAATAAACACCGTAACTATAAACAATGCGTAATATTTTCAGACTCGCTTTCTTCCCCTCAGGCTATTAAGAATTTGTCTTCTTAACATCCATTTTTAATTGCAACAACTGAATTGTATAATGATCTGGCTACTGGCCAATGCGACATCGTCCTCTTGGTTACCCAGCCACATTGGAATTTCTGGTAACACGATGGCCGATTTTTGCTGCTAAAGCAGCACTCAACAAATCTGTGGCACCAATACTTATTCCATACTCTGATTATCCCCCGCAACGCATTTTGCGGGGGTATTAAAATGGTCTCCGTCTGTGTGTGCGTGCGTCCGTGCACATTTGTCTTTTCCGGAGCAGAACTTTAAAACCGTTCAATATTTCTTCACCAAACTTGGCACATAGATAGATCTGGTGGTGTACTGGTGCCTTTTGGTAGTTTTGGATTTCTGAATAAAATATATTTGCATTTCCATGCCAACAAGTTTGACTTAGACTGAAACTGGTGGTAGTGCTCCTTTCTGGAGCAGAACTTTTAAAACCTTTCAATACTCTCCTTCCACTTTTCTATATACACGCCAAAACATTTGACATAATCTTAACTCGTAGACATATTCATGAAGAGTATTTTGCCCTTGCGGGGGATATTGATGACTTTGTCTTCTTGTTATAAAGCAATCATCAGATCTTATATCCGTGATCTGATGCAGAAGAAGTGGGACACCCACTCAATGACTCACCCTTCAGACCGAAAATACTTGTAACTGAGCATTTGTACTTAATACTTTTCAGCTAAAGAATCATGGATTCACACACGTCGATGGTTTGGATCCAGCAAAGAATATGCTGAATGTAGCCAAAAGGCGCAACATCTACCAAAGATACATCTGTGCATTCATTAACAAAGACAGAAACAATGCCATAGAAACGGGTGAGAAACACAAAGTAAATGCTTAGTGTGGTCATTTGCATTGGGTCGACATAACTGATATCAAAACCACTCAAATAGAAATATGTCTGAGATTTATTATTAAAATATTTATCAGATGTTATATGATAAAATCATGATTTTCATCAACGTGAATTGTGCTCGGTTTTTAGGTGAAATGTGCATGGCGTCATGGGCTATTTATTTCTAATGAACGTTGTTAGCCATGCTGGTTGTATCTGTCAGTGTTACAATTGGTCTCATGGGTTTCACCAAAGTAGTAAACGGATGACTCCAAGATCACCTTGGGCATTCCTCAAATATCAAGCTGAAAGACCGCTAAGGGATAAATATTTCACCACTGTTTCATTTTCATTTAATTATTGGTTTTTAAACAAAATTGATTTAATTGATGAATTTTGATTACGATATTCTGTAGATAGATGTATTTTAATGATTGGTAATTTAGATTAGTAACTTAGATTGTTAGTGGCTGTACCCTCAATGGGGGTTAAAGTATTATAAAATTATTGTCCACCTGAGAGGGTACGTAAGTCCCGAAACATTTAAAGTAAATTTCAACTTACCAGATTTTTTTTAAAGTAGTATTTTTGTGATTTTAATTTATGGCTACATTCGACTACAATCGCTAGCGGCTGAAGGGATGATATATATCCAGCTAGGGTTCATGCAGGTAGCAAAAGTACTGTCAATCCCAATGCTAGCATGGCGATCTTCAGTTGTTTGCGGTCAATAGCCTATTTGTAAATTCTATTGACCAAAAGTAGGTTTCTACTTTTAAAGATAATAATATTATAGATTATATAGATGATGCCCATTACCTACCCACACACAATTATCTGAGTAGTACAGGGGGGGTTCTGCCGCAGATGCGGCTTAGAGGCTTATTTGTGGGAATTAAGCCTTACAGCCCCCATTAAAAACATCCTTCGATGTGCAAAAAAAGAGATAGAAAGGTTAAAAAGTAGCAAAACGTCCCCGGCAGCCACACTTCCCCAAGGGTGAAATCGAAAGATTGATGGTTGCACATTTTTCTCCCAAGGGGAATTGCGTCGGCTGCCTTTCTCTCGCCGTGAGAGTGCCCCGCTCAGCTAGGCCCTTTTGACTGCCCCAACTGATGTGATCCTGATTCCTTACCGAAACACCACAACCATCACCACTGAAAGTTGCAAGGAATCCACTGAGGCAACGGCGGAATACTAACTGATAATGCATAGCTGCGCCACTATCCATTATAAGCCCGCACCACTCAACCAATTGCGCTACCAGGGACTTGATAGCTAAATTTCGGTTTAACGGGTCTATCCTGAGATTGCATCATCCTCTTAAACCGGGCTCCGTCTATAGTAGCGCACAGGATGTCTGAAACCAGTTTTATGATGTCATTCCACTTCCGCTTCAAACATTAAAAATGAGATCGCTCACTTCGAACACGTTTGGTGGCTTTTCACCTCGCATTGAGGTTTTTCTGTATGTAAATCGATGTTTTCCAGGCCAACGGATGTTTACTCCCGTTATAATTTCAACTTCTCGGTCGGGTGATGCTTCCCCGAGAAAGACTTCGATATAAAGCATAGAATTGTTTGGAATCCTTTTGTGAAATCGGTCATGTCTTCGAATTCAAGCACCAACTTACAAAACTCGTAGTTCGACTATCCCGCCGACTCGCTAGCAAATGACCCGCTTTATTCGGGATGAGGCTCATGATCACACTCCTTCGTTGCGAGGGGACGTAAGCCGCGATGAGAATCCCCTTATTGAGGACTTTCGGTAGATAATTATCCCTCGGCTCTACAAACACGTAGGGAAAAACGAGGGTGATATCGAGTAGCCAGTCGATTTGTGAGGAGATCAACGTCCATTGGTTATCATCGGTTAGGACGAACTGGTACAACATGTTTTTTAAGAGACCTCGGGCCTCGACATTGTCTAAATCGCCTAGATTGCCATCGAATGCTGGGACCATCACCCATTTGTTATTGTCGTTGAGGACGAGATTGTACTGGGTGTTTTTCAAGAGCCCTCCGGTTATGACATCGTCTTAATCTCCTAGGTTACCACCACCACCACTGCATCCCCTCGCCTGTAAGTGTTGCTTCTTAATTCTAAACCGTATATTTTGCCTTCGACCCCAGGTTCGTCGAAGCCGCACGTGTGAAAGGACGTTGGCCTTGAATATTATCGGTCGTGCTTACCCGGTCGAGATGAACGAACACCTCGTGATAGACCACGAGGCTTGGTAATTTCGAACCTGTGACGGTGTCTCAGGGTTGTACGTTGTTCGACGGCAACCCGAGAGTTCTCGCCAAGGGCCTACCGAATCGGATGGGATTTTCCCCATTCGTGAACGTCAGCGTGCCATTCGACTCGTTGAGTTTGAGGCTGGCTCCAATCGGTTTCAAAATGTCATAGTTGAGCATACACACCCTATAATGACCGTCGGACAACTCGTGGCGATTTTCATCGATGAATAGCTTGTTGTTCCCTTGATGTTGACTGATGTTCGTCCATCTTGGGTAGTAGGTGAGATCGCATAGCATGACTTCGAGGTCCCCCGACGTGTTATCGATCGCGTGCAGCAGTAAAAGGGGCTCGCCGTTCGTGATTCCCGGGAGCGTGATGTACATGTTACACATATACGAGAGACTGTGGTATACTTTCAATATGTCTACACCCAAGTACCAGGCTGGAGTGATTTGTCCTAAAAGCAATACGAAGGTCACCACTACCGATCTCACGCACATGAAGATCGTGGTGGATGCAATGGAGGGTTCCCACTTTCGAGCTCGATTTATCAATGTTTTTCAAAGTATAGGCTGACGATCACGAACGTCAAGGCAGTCCACGCATGGTTTAACAACCCGATGCCGTTCTGGCAGAATCAACTCAATTTTGCCGCGTGGTGCGCAACAACGGGGTGTGGCGTGACCTTGAACGATACTTGTTGCGATGAACTGAGTCGGTCCGTGTTTTATTTTCACGTGTAGAACCAGATCAGGCGCATCCTGAAAGAGATCATCGCCCCGATTCCGCAGGACAAGGCATGGGATGCATTGAACAATCCATACGATCGGCTTACGAACGGATTTGTGGCGATTTCGAAATCGATCCGAACACAGATTGGTGTATACCGGTAGGAGTGAACCACGGTTTGGGTATTCCATACAGCGATGGACTTCCCGTGAAAGAAGCCAGCACTACTTTGTTGAAGAAAGTAATGAATGGAGAGATGATGGCATGAACTTTACAGGTCAAGGTAGAATTCCTTTCACCATCCAAAAAGTCGAGCAGCCCCAATACGTTGAAGACGATTGGAAAATATATATGCTGGACACGTCGAAAGGGTTAACTCGCGTGGGCACCGTACGGTTGAACGATTCGATTCGAACGTACGTGTGGACGCGGCTTGGCGCGCAGTCGCAAACGCGTTCTGGCATCGTGGGTCAAGGAACGCCTTACGACGCCCAGAAACAGTTCATGTCGAACGTCGAGGATGCCAATCGTCCAGACCATGAACGCGTTGAGAAGCGACAAACACAACATCTACCGCATCACTCTCAACAAGATCTCGCTGTCGCCCCTGGATAGCAAACGATGGATTGCAAACGATGGCATCCACACTTATAGCTATGGGTACCAACAGTAGGCCTCGACGCGTTGGGAGTTTCCGAGACCCCCAATAAAGGAAACTCCACTCGCTGCATCGAGACAATTGAATAAACGATAGAGTGTATACATCATGGAGAAGGTTTACTATAGCCCTCGGGGTTACTGGAAAGGTATGAGCGCCATCCCGAAGCTAGCCAAAGCCGCTCGCGTCTCCGAGGATACCGCCAAAGCTTGGCTTAAAAACAAGCCATCTGGCAAGTGTACCTGCCGGCTCCCCAATATATCCCTAGACGAAAGTTTGACATTTCCATGTTGCCAGTCGCTACAAGGAAGCAGAGGCGTTAACGACCAAAGATTCGAGTCAAGTCGCTAAGGCCTTAGAACGTATCTACAAATGCAGTCGCTTGACCTGGCCAACCGAATTACAAGTCGATCCCCGACGCGAGTTCATTGGAGCTGTTGCAGCTGTTATCGAAGCATAAAGTCCAGGTGAGATGAGGCATGGCCGGAGCTCACCGAAGCCAAGCCATCGCCAAAAGATTTAGCAGGACTTTAGCCGAGCGACTTCAGTATGCCCAAGAGATGGTCAACCCAGAAAAACGATCGACGGAATGGGTGGTACACATACCACGAGAAGTCACTCGACTCCTCTATAAAAGACCTGTTGAAGCCATTCGAATGAAATCCATGATGACTAAATCGGCTGCGCCATCGCGTCAGGGCCAAGAGAAAAAACTACCAGACCGGGTCATAGTGAGGTATCTGTACCAGCCCAGTGAACTCAAAGGAGGTGATAAATGTCGTGCCACAGACCCCGCATGGTCAATGAAAACGTACCGCATCGACCGAGTGGACATCAAAGACGACGAACCGAATCTGTATTACTTGCAAGACGGACCAGGTAGGGGATTCGTCCCAGAGGAATTGATGATCGTCCCTCACGACACGGTATTGCCCCCTTCTTATTAAAGATTCGTCTTATGTTTATCATTAACAACATGTGGAGATTGATCGAGAAACGGTTCTTCAGACGCGTCGGGGTGGACGTCTATGGCCTCGATATTTACGCCGCCCTGCGTTGAGTCATAAGTCAAGGGAAATTCACCAGCCTGTACGATAGTTTAGGTCTCGTGGGCACCAAACAGTTACAACGTCTCATGGATACATTAGTCGATTTTAGCCTCGAGACCCGAGATCCCACCGCCCCGTACTCTACCTACTCTGTAGACCACTTGGAGTTTACAGAATTTATGGCAGACTGGTCTAGGATTAGACCTAGAAATTTTACTGCATCTGATTGCGGTAATTTAATATAAAGATGTACGTTTCGTTTTCTTCGGTGTTGTGCTTTGAATACTACAGTTGTTGTTTTAGTGCTAGAAAGTTGGAACCCAGATTGGTTGGTCCAGTTTTTAATATGCTTAAGTGCAGCTTGAATTTGTTTTTGTGCTTTGTGTATATTTGACAATGCTAAATAATAATGTTGCTTTTAAGTATCGAACTGAGAAAGGGACTCGGTAAGAAGAACGTGTGGTGAAATAGTCAAACGAAATTATATAAACAGTTAAATCGGTAAACCACAGTCATAACACATAAAAAGCTCGCGCCTGTGATATATCAACAAAACATTAGAAAAATAGCTCACATCAAAGCACACCACCAGCGAAGGTTTTCCGTCTTGAAATATCGAACGCCTCACTGGTTGACACATAGCTGATTACATCTAGATCCTTAACAAGGTTCTTTTATGTAGCGAGCGGATTATTTACTATTTGTTGTTTGTGTACACAACCAAGATTAGACTACTCCTGCTCACAATCTTATAATCCGGACATCGCGCTTCAAGCTGCGTGAACCTATTCACTGCACATGCGCTATGAGCTCAGCGCAGCAGAGCTGTTGAAACCACTTTTTACCCCAGTTGGGGCAAATTTTATTGAATCATTTGAACTCCGATTTGGCGGGGTTTTTTCATCGCGTTATTTTTCAACTTTATATGTTGAATTCACATATTTGATCATTTGTTACTGTAAGTCCATGCCGAAAGGTATCAGAATCTGCAAAGTTGTGTTTTGCGTTGCATGTGACCTTTAAATATTGTGCTTATATGTTTTTAGATTACTATGACTACATTGTGGCATCAGGTGCTTTTAATGAAGGTCTGATTCCCTGTGGCGCCTTCCAGGAAATGATTCGGATCGTTAAACCAGGTGACTATCTTGGTTGAAATTGGTCTTTACACGTGTTATCTTGTGTGTGTGTTTTTCTGCTGTATGATTTTGGTAAGCAACTCTGCTTGTAATCGTCGCTAGACCACATAACTTTACAAGTAATGATGTATATTTAATACTTTGAATTTTGTCAGAATATGTGTTTGTCAATCTGTAAAACTCGAGGAAAAACATAATAGTTTTCCCATGATATTTTCTGGAACAAATAAAATCCCAATGAATGCACCATTGGCTTTCAATCTTGAGGAAATTTCATGAAACCTCAAATATTTTTAATGTTCGATCCTTTTCCATCTTTGCCATCCCATGCTTATCGTGATAGGCAACTATCGGGATATGGTGTTCAGAATTGCTTGACTTGGCTAATGTATGTCATTATGTCCCAGTTGCATAGATCGATGCTTATGATGTCAGTCACTGGATTGTTTACATTCCGCCGTCATGAAGCTGGAATAATGTTGGAGAGGCCTTAGACAACAAACACACATACGCCAACTAAATAACTCAACAAGTTAATATTCCCCAGGTGGTCGAATCACTTTCACGGTTCCAACCAAATACATCAACATCTCAGACAACTTACGGGATCAGTTACTTCCCCTTATAGACCAGCTGGCACAAGAGGGCGTGTGGGAGGTCACTTCCGTTGCACTGGAAGATGGAGAACTTTCTTCCACAGACGGTCCGGGCACTTTGTTTAGTTTGAAGGTTTTTGTGTCCGAAAAGACGTTTTAAGAATCTAGAAAAGTCAGTTCCTTATTACGTACTATCTTTTGTTAGCCTTTTCATTTGTCAAGTAAATATAAGCGATGCCCATGTTTCAAATATGTATGCATCACTGATGACACATTTCCAAAAGTAGAAGTTAAATTAAACATGTAAATCCCACTCTATTCATTCTAAACTTGTGGATGTTGCGTCAATGGCCATTATTTTGTTCGGGAATCCATGGACTCACAGACTAAACGAAAGTTCTTGATTGGTGTAATGGTTTTTGGTCGCACTGACCAGAAACGTTTTGTGGTGATTATTTCAGATCGATACCAACTTGTTTCCCTCTAAAAACTAAAGCTTAAAAACTGGAAATGTGTTTCCCCAAACAAGATACAAACAAAATAGAGGATAGATTCATGCAAACACACACAACATAAATTACTCACTCACTCATGATAATCCTGACAGTAGATTTCCAGCTACAACAATATGATATCGATATGAGATTAGCTTATGAATAATTGAATCTGCAGTTGAACATTTTCAGAATGTTAACAATATGCATTATAAATCCAGCATTGCAACTGAGACTTTTTGTCTTGTTCCATTATATATGATATATCTTATGATATGAAAAGGCAATATGGCCAGTTGATCCATTCAGTTTTATAAAATTAATACAGTATTCCAGTAAATGATTCAGCGTTCTCAAGAGCCTCCTTCCAGAATCTTGAACTGGTAATGGACATGAACATAGTAGTTGCTATAATGAATGTGCCCTTTTTAAATCATCTCAGAGCAATTTAGCCAGTACCTTTATGGCACTTGATACTGTTATGTGACAGTGTGTGGTATTTTTATTGTGTAACAGTGTTCCAAGTGTTGGTCACTGTACGCGTTGATATACATTTGGGGACAGTGCAGTAGTGTGCTCTACATATAGATTCTGTTAGACTTCTATTAGATCAAAATAGAAACATCTGGAAGTTACGGGGGTCTACGACCCAATGGGTTGCTGGAGAATCTCCTGGAGTCGTTTGTCATAGGCATGTAAGGGACGCCTACTCTTGCTTCTCATCTCAAGTTATATGAAGACCAGCATTGAGAGTGATGATCGTTATACCCTTAGTATTCTGCTTAGCCTTTTCTTGGATTACTGTTACTGAGAGTTGAATATTGCCTTCATTGCTGTAATGGCTTCCCTTGTATTATTTTACCTTTGAATCTGTAGTGCCGCTCTGTTTCGACTCGTGAAAGCGATACCGTTGTATTGATTTGTGACCTCAGTTAATTTTAGAATACAATCATTAATTACATCACATGGCTTTGTTGTTTGTGGATTTCACAGCTAGTTCATTTAAGGATTACTTTCCTCTTGGAAATCAAGACGTAAGCATATCCTTCATGTTTCCTTCTTTGATTATATAAAGGCGTTTCCAGGAACCGACTTATGATTTATTCAAAACAAGCAAGACATTTCAAACAATGCACTCGACATACGACAGTATAAGGTTATACCTTGCTTAGTAAAGTGTTTGGGTTTCCAATCAGTGCACAATAGAGGTCCCTCGGGTAATTATCTTTACATATATTACACAAGTGTTACGTTTCTCCAGCTCTCCAGACCCGTAAAGATCCGGGTTAGACGATTGGTCTTCATTAACCCATGCTTGTCGTAAAAGGCGACTAAAGGGATCGGATGGTCAAGTTCGCTGACTTGGTTGACTGACTGACTGACTGACTGACTGAGTATGGTTTTACGCCGTTTTAGCAATATTCCAGCAATATCACGGCGGGGGGCACCAGAAATGGGCTTCACAAATTGTACCCATGTGGGGAATCGAACCCGGGCCTTCGGCGTGACGAGCGAACGCTTTAACCACTAGGATACCCCACCGCCCCGACTTGATTGACACATGCCATAGTATCCCAATTGCATAGATTGATGCTCATACTGTTGATCACTGGATTGTCTGGTCCAGACTCGATTATTCACAGACCGCCTCCGTAGAGCGGGAATATTTCTGAGTGCGGCGTTAAACAACAAACCAACCAAACCAACTAACCAGCTCTCAAGAAAATGGAGTGAGGAGTGAGTGAGTTACGATTTAGAGTCACATTGGCAATATTGCAGCCATATCGTGACTAAAATAACATATACTTTAATAATATATAAAGTTTTTCCTAAAATCTGTCAACAAAGGACAGTAAAACAAGTAGGTTATCACAGATAGAAATTTAAAACTAGTATGTAAGCATTAAAACATTTATCACAATATAGGATGATACAATATAAAAACCGGGCTATAGGTCACCAACAACAGAAGGTAGATCACCAAACAAGGGACTATGGGGACTTACAATACCTTTGCTAACTGCAGGGGCCCTAGATGGATTTACATCATTCCTTCAGATGTTGGTCATTTTTGTACAATTTAGCCATACGTTAAAAGAACACATATACTGCGATTAAAATCACGGAAAATGAAAAATCCTCTGAATGAAATGGGACTTGCACACCCTCTCCCAGAACATGGAGTAACAGTTCTTTGACAAATTTGTTATCAAGTGCTCTTCAACATTCTTCTTTATTCTCCACATGCTAGTATTCAAACACTCTTATGTATCTAAATTCACCTGTCACTCCGACGTATGATATGTCCATAAATATATGTGTCAAATCTGGGATGTCATTATTTCATTTATCACTTGATAGTTTATTAAGCATTCCCTATCATTAAAAGGAATCTGCTTTTGAGAAAAGTCGAGACTGGGTAATTCTTGATTGGGGAACGACTTGGTATTTACGCTAATCTGTTTGCTAACATTGGCGTTTCAAGAGGCCTCGTCTACATTGAACTTTCAACAGCTGTCAACAAACTTCAATTAGTATATCTACATCATGATCAAGACATTGGTGACTATATACATTTAGTTAATACTTGAGATTTGTGACCCGATCGTATTGCATTAGAAATGTGCACTGTCATTCATTATAACCTTGTTTATCTTCTATTCAATATGTAATTTAATATTATAGAGTCGCTTGTGTTTTATTTTGCGGATTTAAAGGGGACTCACAACCCTTTTATCACAGTAATTCCTTAACCGTAACAATTCCTTAAAACCAAACGGAATCTGTTTTGTTTTGTGTTTTAAGGACTGTTTAGATTGGGTATCCTTTTGCAAGTGTTGATGATCTACATTTTTGTGAAACGCGAAGGTTAACAAAGAAATCGGTCTGTACTATTTTTTTTTAAATAACCACATATAACCAATGAACAGGTTCTATTGAAATACAGGGCTACAGTATGGGTCAAATATGTGTTAACAAGAATAACAATAGGCCCTGATACAAATCACAAATTTCAAGAATTTGTGACAGTGGAGTGAGTGTTCTTTTCAGAATAATGCAGGTGTTCCTTCTTAAAACCACACATGGGCACAATGTGTTAAGCCCATTTCTGGTGTCCCCCGCCGTGATATTGCTGGAATATTGCTAAAAGCGGCGTAAAACTAAACTCAGTCAGTCAGTCTTAAAACCAGAAAACAGACCCGTAAACAGGCAGAAAATCGGTGGTATGTTTATTGGTATCCCTGAGGAGTCAGTAGAGAATACGCAATTCCGGTAGTTGGAAAGGACCTTGAATTGTTCAAATGATTTATGGGAACCAAAAATGGTTGCAAGACTGATGGTGCAGCGTTACACAATAATCACCTACTTTCATTGGAACTGTCAGCCTTATGAATACTTCTGCCTCGAAGCGTCTGGCATCATGCCAGTTTATACTGGGACCAACTGTCAGCAAGAAATTCGGGCTGGGAGTATCTCAGTTGGCAAACAAAACAATTGACATTTTATGACTGCCTCATTTACGAGCGCTTCAACTAGTTGTTACGAACTATTCTCAGAAATCAGTGGGTGAGTGGGAGAGTATAGTTTTACGCCGCTTTAGTGTTATTCCAGCAGTTCCACAGCGGAGGACAACAGAAATAGGCTTTTCACAGTGTACGCATGTGGGGAATTGACCTCGGATCTTAGGTGTGACAAGCGAACAGAAAACTGCAGGTTTAAAAATCAAGGAACCCCATACAGATGACTGAGCATGAGAGCTGCTGGCTGTGGAAGCAGTTTATTCCTGTTACCCATCTGTAGTTGTTACACTCTCGAGGTTAACAGAATCCAATACACAGCACAATCTCTCTAAAAGCATTTGGGGGCGGTGGGGTAGCCTATTGGTTAAAGCGTTCGCTCGTCACTCCTAAGACCCGGGTTCGATTCACCACATGGGTAAAATGTGTGAAGCCCATTTCTAATGTCCCCCGCAGTGATATTGTTGGAATATTGTTAAAAGCGGCGTACAACTACACTCACTCGCTCACTGAATGTGTTCTGTGAAGTTCAAACAGCCCTACTTACAGACTACATGTATGATGTTCCTTGCCAACCTGCTGTACTCAGTTGTCCGGGGCAAGAAGAAACTATTGTGTTCAGTAAAGTTTAACAATTGAGGGTGTATAGCAGGCCTTAAGGGACTTGAACAGGGTGGTGACATGAACAGAGAGATCAAGTAGTCTCAGGGCGACAGTAATATGTTGAAAGGCGTAGAACTAAATCAAACGAATGAACAACGCCAGTTGAAGGAGGAACTGAAACCTGTGATCTGTTGTATACCTTTGGTAAGATGCTTGAACAGCATCTATGGGTGATGAATGAGCGGATCATGCAATTGCTGAACTTGAGGATGGCATTGATGTCCCAGTTGTAGTATACCTTGGGTTTCACTATACAAGTTCGTCCAGAGGGTGGTCTTATTCAATCCAGGGAAAGAGAAACGAATAGCAATATCATGCCGACATCTTTATTCCCGCTCACGATACACATATCGACCTATCGGGGAGGTAACTCTGCCTGACACTCTCTTATTCAAGAATCGAGTGGAGCGTCCGTGTAATATTTAAAACACAACACCAGTGGTTAAAGGTTTATCCTCCTGTGAACAGGGAAAAGCTGATTAAAGTGACCATTGTTCAAGGGTATGTACCAGGTGACCATACAAAGAGCAGAGAGTTGTGTAGTAGGGTAACCACTATTCACTCTTCACTTCTACCTTATGTCTGTAGATTGTGTGAAATATCCTTGTGATTGTGCATGACAAGTGTCAAATGGGAAACATCGTTCAGAATACAAAATATAATGTAATCTAAGCTGATAGCTTTCCTCAAAACTTAATATCTCACCATGTATGACAAAAGGTCTCCTTGACCATCCAAATGCCTGGAACATGTCTTCATGCCGTCAAATGTTGGAGGAAATAGAACCGACAAAATCCTTTCCACATCCATACGAAATTTCTGCAAAAAGCAGAGTCGATTGTACAATTGTGGCTATATCATGAG